CCCAAAAACTGACGGACCTGACGTACTGTCCGTGGAGGCTGCATCCTTGAGATGGCCTCAACCTTTTCCGGATCTGGGGAGATGCCCTGTGGAGTAACCAGAAAGCCTAAAAATTTAAAAGAATTTACAGCAAACTGGCACTTTGCCACATTAAGTCTAAACCCGGCCTGAGATAACAGACCCAATACTTCCTCGAGATGAATTAAGTGTTCTTCGAAGGACTTCGAATAAATCACTACGTCATCAAGATAAGCTAGAGCGTGTTTCCCCAAAGTAGGGCTAAGAACAGCGTTTATTGCCCTTTGAAAAGTAGACGGTGCAGTGGCTAAACCAAATGGCATCCTACGAAAGTGAAAGAGCCGAAATCCGTCACTGAAAGCAGTCTTTGGTCTGTCCCCCGGCTCCACTTCAATTGTCCAGTAAGCCGACTTGGCATCTAAAGCGGTAAACCACTTCGTGCCGGACAGTTCGTCAATAGTCTGATCTAGCCTCGGCATAGGGTATGCGTCTGATACCGTTACCCTATTTAGCTGACGGTAATCAACGCAGAATCTAATTCCACCGTCCTTCTTCCTAAGACGACGGGAGATAACCATGGAGATGTGGATGGTTTGATCACCCCGTCTAGCAGCATCCTATCACACTCTTCGCGGATCGTTTCATGGGCGCTCTCAGGGAGCCTCCACTGCCGAGTGCGTATTGGCTGCGCATCGTTGGTGGAAATACAATGCCTAATGTTTGGAATCTTCCCCAAAGGAACAGATTCATCAAAAGGAACTGAATGACTCTGCAGCACCGCTAAAAGTTTATCTCGTCTGATGGATCCGAGATGATCTAGACTAGCCTTGCTAATTAAACATTCACTCCCTGAAGGTGTAAAAATTGGCAAGACCTCGGCACTCACTGACGGAAACAAATCGAAGTCATCGTCATCATACCCAAAGTCTCCAATACCGAAGCGATCATCGAAGTCGTCAAACTGCGGGTCCAGCTCACAGGTTTCATCCATAGCATTAACACAACCATCACCATTATCACCATCACCTTTCAAATGAGAATTAAAATTATCATAAGAACAGGTAAAATCATTAGAACAAGTAAAATCATTATCATTATAAGAACAATTAAAACCATCACCCTTAACACAATCATTGCCTCAAGGAAAACTGTCATTACCACCTTTCGGCCAGCTACCCTTACGAGATTCATAAACATCATCAATTGGCTCTAAACATGCAATAGGCATCCCTTGCTGCAGTATGACTGGCTTATGGCGATCATTAACAATCCAAATTTTTATCTTCTCCCCTGTCACTTCAACCAGACTGCGCAGAACCAAAACTTGCGCGGTCAAACCCGCAACCATGGCAACCGACCTATGTTCATTTGACACAATACCGGGGACAAACATTCCCGCATTTGGAGGACAAACGGTTGTCTCGCCGCAAAGTACTGGCGTAGCACCATTAGCAAAATCTACCTTAGCCATGTTAGGTATACGACGCACTGTGTGTACTTTGATTGCTAAAGACGGGCAATCACTATATGTCATCTTAAACCTTAAGACATTTAGAGTTACATAATTTCGACAGGGAGAATGATACGCTACAAACCTAAAATTAAAACGGCGTAGCCAGTCCATACCGAGTAAGATCTCTCCCGGAAAACTTACATTTTCAGACACAATAGCAACATCATGTTTACAGGTGATCCGCTCGCTAAGTTGAAAGGACAAGTTTACACTTTGCAACTACGAAAAGAGTGCCCGGAAGCTCCTCGTAACGTACGAGAGGAAGGACGGACTGAACGGAGATAAAGCTTTTCCTTCATACACTCTTTAATGAGTGTTATCTCTGAACCTGTGTCGAGAAAGCAGGTGCACAGAACCCCGTTAATGCGTAACGTAATCAAAGGTCTGCCGGATCGAATCGTATCAGTGACAGGCGCAGTTTGTGATCCCTGCGTCCCTATACAAACGTCATTAATCGCGCGTTCCCGGGGCATTCGCCGCGCGAGAAGCTGAAAACGGTCGCGTCCCGCGGGCTGCCGAAAAGGGACAGTTTCTCATTACGTGACCTGTCCTGTTACAGGTGTAACAACGAAGTAGATTATTCATATCCGGAGTTATCCTTGACCTCCCCCTACAGTCTTTCGTATCATGAGTACGAGAGTTGTGGTAAGAACAAAATGGTGTTCTTTGCACACGGGGTGACATAGCGGTCGTTCTATTATCAGCTAATTTATTGGTTCTTACGTTCCATATTCGTTGAGCCGCATCAACAAGCAGTTGTAGAGGCTCGTCCTCTTTAATGCTTCTCGTAGCCACTGCGGCAGTCCTTGCAAAAATATACGTCTTATTAGCTCATCTGGAATTCCGATCGAACGGGGATAATCTCGCGCGCCCTGGTAAACAATTGATTCGACCGTGACGAAGAAGTCAATCGGCGCCTGACCAGAAGCAAGACTATAATTGTTCAAGTAATTAAAAAAATCAATAAAAGAACATGTGCCCCTGAATTTAGCACGCAGCTTTTCTTTGAATTCTACCCACGACACGATGCCATCAAAAACGGGAGAATTTACAATAAGGTCCGCCGTACCGCGGCATGAACTTCGCGCGGCTCTTATATATGATTCATCGGTCCGTGGCTGCGTTATGTTTTCAATTTGTCTGAGCCACGACTCTACCTCTTGGTTACTCTTAAGAGGCTGGGATGCTGGCGTATCTGCCCTAAAGTGAGGAACTGCCTCTTTATAGAGCACGTACTCTGTCTGTGGCCGTGATTCAGAGGTTAAAGAATGGTCATTCGTGCTATTCTGTGCTAGGGCTGCGTACTGTGCTTGCATATTAGCCATTTGCTCACTTAACTCTTGGAATTTTTGCGTCAATTCCTCGTACATGGGTAGGTCTAATTGCAAATCACGTGTTGACCCTGGTAACCCATTGTCATCTCGCCGCGGTGAACTTGTTCTTGACATTCCGGCCGTTTCCCCGTCATTACGTCTCGACCGTCTATTCATGTTTACTTAATGCAAGCCAAAAGCGAAACAAGTGAAACAAGCAAAACAAGCGTGAGGCTTATATTCCACGGTCACACGGAAAGGTTAGCTTACTGTTAAGCAGACGGCTACTTGTTTAAAGAAACCACGATTAGCTACTTACGTTAATTAGAGCACGTTTCACACCGCTCGGCACCAGAAAAAGAGGATCGCATCCCACCGCTGCCACCAAATGATATACGGGTAATAAGTTGTAGTGACCCGTAACAAAGTAATCTCTCGCAAAGATTAAGAAAGTACTCACTGCCACCACCCATTTAATTGACGTATGGGAACGTTAGTGTTTGTGTTGTGAGATGGTAGTGTAAGGGAAGAGTGTGAGGAAAGGAGGGACAGTAGGTGTGTGTGTGTGTGTGAGAAAGAGAGGAGGAGTGTAAGTGTAGTGTGCGAGAGTTCGGTAAGCGTGCCTTAGCCGAGAGGAGACGTGTGCGGGGGGAATAACTCCCCAAACGCAATATGATGCCGAGGATTTACTTCACTGCCTTAGTGGCTATCTACCGTTCAGCCCGGCTTACACCCCTTGAGTACTCGTCCTCCCAATTGACAATGTATTCATTTGCGAGGGCATATGATAAAACCTTTTTCATAAATCTCGTTTATTAAAAAGAGATTAAAATACCAAATGAGTGAAAGAACATGAAAACACTAAAAGAATAAAATAACACGGAACAAAAACGTGAAAACACTAAAAGAACATAAAAACGTAAACCACACAAAACAGAACATAAAAACATTAAAACACTAAAAGAATAGAACATGAAAACGTTAAAACACACAAAAAAAGAACTTAAGAACGTTAAAAGACAAAGAACAGAGCATAAAAACGTAAAAACACTCAAAGAACTAGAACCGTGAAAAACACGAACATTAAAAGAACTTCAATAAAAGTTAAGATAAACACTAAGAAAACACTAAGAACACATGAGCTTTAGAATAAAAATTGACTTGAGGCACCGGTCTATTAGATCACTTTGTTTATCTACATTTGCATGAATTTCTCCCGATACCTTAACTTGGAAGATTCTCACGACCACTTAGCTGTTCTAGTACAGGAGGCCCATTCCGGGGTTCCTCAACAAGTGCTCCCTCCGACAACCCACAGCAAAATCCCCCCTGTCACGCCTCCTTCGTTGTCTGAGGATAGTTCGTGGCGCGAACAATAATAACTCAGGCGGGGAATGCCTTTTCTCATTAGAGTAAAATTTTTATCTTAAAATAATAAAACATGGCAAAAATAAATGTGTAAAAGTAAAAACTAAAATAATAAATACTGAAGTTAAAAAGATAAAATGATAAAATTGCCTCCTTCTCGTTGTTTTGTTCATTGTTATTTGTTTGCTCATTCTTGTTCTTGTGTGGGATATAAATGATAATATAAAATAAAAACCTTTAATAATTGCTAAAACAAGTAGAAATACAATAAAAATGATAAAAGAGGAGGTAGGTAGGAGCCGCGTTTTCTTCTCCCCCCGTTTTCTATGCAGGCGTGGAGCCTCGGGGTAAGTGTTGAGCATCCTCACCCCCGGGAGATAAAACGATCCGCCTTTCTTTCTAGGGTGACATTTTTCCTGATTTTCTTTTCTTAGGCCTGCGGGAGAGTGAAAAGTGAGAGAGTGTCTTCGTCACGACGGTGAACTAGTGGTTCACGACAACTCCCCCTACAAGCGCGGCAACCCAGGTTGGCGTGCTATATGAACAGCAAACGGCTGCTCCTCCTGAATTTCGATGCTGAAACAATGGGTGTTTATCACAGGCGTTCGGCTACCAGGCACAACCAGGACTTCGACTGCAAGAGAATCATCTTCGTTAGGTTTTACACAGGATAGATTTATGCAATGTAGTAAAACAAAGCGAAAAGACCATATGGTGCACACGACCTGATGACTGACTCCCCATAAGTATGGATTCAACTCACGACCGTGCCTGGAGTGCTTAACACCTTACTCGTCAGCATCACTTTCCTCGTGTTGTGGTGCTTGTCCGGAAGGGCCAGGTACAGCGAGGTCCTTATACTCTCCGTTTCCCTCGTCATCGTCATCTTCAGGGTATTCTTCAGGATCATCGGGATCATCGGGTTCGTCAGGATCCGGTACATTCTCCCTCGGTGCCTCCGGGAATACGAACTCTTCTCGTGGGACATACCTTCTCAGCTGATTGATATGGCACTTCAGTTCCTTGTTTGGTGTGTAGGGGTCTTGGACGACGTAGTTCACGGGCCCCACTTTCTTCAGGACACGGACAGGCCTACTCCATCGTGGCGCCAGCGCTGCTACTCTGTGCGTACGTCCTCGTCGTGTAATACGTACCAGCACGAGCTCACCGATCTCTGGACGAAACTTTCGTCGCACTTTCCGGTCGTAGTCTCGAGCCCATCTTTCCCTGGAATTCCTTGCGGACTCTACTGCAGTTTCCCGGGCCTCGCGTAGTCTCCCTCGGGGTATCCTTGCAGCATCTTCGTCCATCTCTTGGTAGTTAGTCAACAAGGCTGGAAAGTAACTATCCCGTCCCATTAACAGATACAGAGGAGTTTGGTTCACGCTCCTGTGTATAGCGGTGTTTAGAGCAAGACGTACGTATGGCAACATCTTGTCCCAGTTTTGAGGATGCTGTCCGATTAAAGTTGCCAGGGAATCTTTCACCACTCTGTTGACCCTTTCTACCATACCATTTGCCTGTGGATGGTAGCTTGTAGTGTTCATGGTTTTCACTTTTAATATCTCACACACCTGTTTAAAAAGAGTGTTGGTGAACTCACTACCGTTATCTGTGAGTAGTGTTCTAGGGGAACCAAATAAAGTTACATAATTTCAATAAATGCGTCAGCTACCGAAATAGCGTCCCGATTCACCAAGGGTATCAGTTGTAAATATCTAGAGAAATTATCAATGATTACTAGGACGTATCTGTGACCTCTAGCTGAATAAACCATCTCCATCAAATCTGCCGACACTCTCTCGAAAGGCTGGGTAACTTCAGGCATAGATGCGAGAGGGGCCTGCTTAGATGCCACACCTTTCCTCCTCTGACACTCCCTACAAGATAAAACAAACTTTCTGACTTCTGACAGCATCTGTGGGAAATAGTATCGATCTCGTAATCTGCAATATGTACGAAAAACACCTGGATGAGCAGCAGATCTATCACCAAGAACAAGTTCCAGAACTTTACCTCGCAACGACCTCGGTATCACGAGCTGCTGTATAACCCTCTCCTGAAGAACACGATTATGGTAGAGCAACCCGTCTCTCAACTCGAACTCATCCAGAGGAAACGGAAGCCTCCTCCTGGGTGCTCGTCTCTCCCTATGGTGATCTATTACTTCTCTCCACAACGGGTCATTTTGCTGGGCCTCGGCTACTTGCTGTGGATCGAGATCCGAACCTATGGCAGTTACCTTCCGACTGAGTAAATCAGGAAGATGGTGGGAAGCACCTGGCTTGTACTTTATAAAATAATTATAAAAAGATAGCTCATGACTCCATCTGGTCATTCGGATGGATTAGGTTTGGCGTTTAAAAACATGAATTAATGGGCGATGATCAGTAAAAATAATAAAAGGACGTCCATACAAGTACGCATTGTAATTACGTACTGACTCCACTACTGCAAGAACTTCTAAGTCAATGATAGGGAACTTACGCTCAGAATCTCTCAACTTTCTCGAGTAGTAAGCGACTGCTTGGGGAACACCTTTATCGTCCCTCTACATGAGGATCCTATTGCCAACCCTGAAGCATCTGAATGGACTTCGAAATGTTTATTAAAGTCTGGCTTACGTAATACAGGAGCTGTTGTTAATTTGTTCTTTAGTTGTTGAAAGGCCTGTTGCTGTTTCTCTCCCCATACAAATTTCTCGTTTTTCCGCAGAAGTGTTGTTAATGGGGCCGCCAACATGGCATAGTTCTCCACGTGCCTTCGGAAGAACCCGGTGGCACCCAAAAACTGACGGACCTGACGTACTGTCCGTGGAGGCTGCATCCTTGAGATGGCCTCAACCTTTTCCGGATCTGGGGAGATGCCCTGTGGAGTAACCAGAAAGCCTAAAAATTTAAAAGAATTTACAGCAAACTGGCACTTTGCCACATTAAGTCTAAACCCGGCCTGAGATAACAGACCCAATACTTCCTCGAGATGAATTAAGTGTTCTTCGAAGGACTTCGAATAAATCACTACGTCATCAAGATAAGCTAGAGCGTGTTTCCCCAAAGTAGGGCTAAGAACAGCGTTTATTGCCCTTTGAAAAGTAGACGGTGCAGTGGCTAAACCAAATGGCATCCTACGAAAGTGAAAGAGCCGAAATCCGTCACTGAAAGCAGTCTTTGGTCTGTCCCCCGGCTCCACTTCAATTGTCCAGTAAGCCGACTTGGCATCTAAAGCGGTAAACCACTTCGTGCCGGACAGTTCGTCAATAGTCTGATCTAGCCTCGGCATAGGGTATGCGTCTGATACCGTTACCCTATTTAGCTGACGGTAATCAACGCAGAATCTAATTCCACCGTCCTTCTTCCTAAGACGACGGGAGATAACCATGGAGATGTGGATGGTTTGATCACCCCGTCTAGCAGCATCCTATCACACTCTTCGCGGATCGTTTCATGGGCGCTCTCAGGGAGCCTCCACTGCCGAGTGCGTATTGGCTGCGCATCGTTGGTGGAAATACAATGCCTAATGTTTGGAATCTTCCCCAAAGGAACAGATTCATCAAAAGGAACTGAATGACTCTGCAGCACCGCTAAAAGTTTATCTCGTCTGATGGATCCGAGATGATCTAGACTAGCCTTGCTAATTAAACATTCACTCCCTGAAGGTGTAAAAATTGGCAAGACCTCGGCACTCACTGACGGAAACAAATCGAAGTCATCGTCATCATACCCAAAGTCTCCAATACCGAAGCGATCATCGAAGTCGTCAAACTGCGGGTCCAGCTCACAGGTTTCATCCATAGCATTAACACAACCATCACCATTATCACCATCACCTTTCAAATGAGAATTAAAATTATCATAAGAACAGGTAAAATCATTAGAACAAGTAAAATCATTATCATTATAAGAACAATTAAAACCATCACCCTTAACACAATCATTGCCTCAAGGAAAACTGTCATTACCACCTTTCGGCCAGCTACCCTTACGAGATTCATAAACATCATCAATTGGCTCTAAACATGCAATAGGCATCCCTTGCTGCAGTATGACTGGCTTATGGCGATCATTAACAATCCAAATTTTTATCTTCTCCCCTGTCACTTCAACCAGACTGCGCAGAACCAAAACTTGCGCGGTCAAACCCGCAACCATGGCAACCGACCTATGTTCATTTGACACAATACCGGGGACAAACATTCCCGCATTTGGAGGACAAACGGTTGTCTCGCCGCAAAGTACTGGCGTAGCACCATTAGCAAAATCTACCTTAGCCATGTTAGGTATACGACGCACTGTGTGTACTTTGATTGCTAAAGACGGGCAATCACTATATGTCATCTTAAACCTTAAGACATTTAGAGTTACATAATTTCGACAGGGAGAATGATACGCTACAAACCTAAAATTAAAACGGCGTAGCCAGTCCATACCGAGTAAGATCTCTCCCGGAAAACTTACATTTTCAGACACAATAGCAACATCATGTTTACAGGTGATCCGCTCGCTAAGTTGAAAGGACAAGTTTACACTTTGCAACTACGAAAAGAGTGCCCGGAAGCTCCTCGTAACGTACGAGAGGAAGGACGGACTGAACGGAGATAAAGCTTTTCCTTCATACACTCTTTAATGAGTGTTATCTCTGAACCTGTGTCGAGAAAGCAGGTGCACAGAACCCCGTTAATGCGTAACGTAATCAAAGGTCTGCCGGATCGAATCGTATCAGTGACAGGCGCAGTTTGTGATCCCTGCGTCCCTATACAAACGTCATTAATCGCGCGTTCCCGGGGCATTCGCCGCGCGAGAAGCTGAAAACGGTCGCGTCCCGCGGGCTGCCGAAAAGGGACAGTTTCTCATTACGTGACCTGTCCTGTTACAGGTGTAACAACGAAGTAGATTATTCATATCCGGAGTTATCCTTGACCTCCCCCTACAGTCTTTCGTATCATGAGTACGAGAGTTGTGGTAAGAACAAAATGGTGTTCTTTGCACACGGGGTGACATAGCGGTCGTTCTATTATCAGCTAATTTATTGGTTCTTACGTTCCATATTCGTTGAGCCGCATCAACAAGCAGTTGTAGAGGCTCGTCCTCTTTAAGCGCTAATGCTTCTCGTAGCCACTGCGGCAGTCCTTGCAAAAATATACGTCTTATTAGCTCATCTGGAACTCCGATCGAACGGGGATAATCTCGCGCGCCCTGGTAAACAATTGATTCGACCGTGACGAAGAAGTCAATCGGCGCCTGACCAGAAGCAAGACTATAATTGTTCAAGTAATTAAAAAAATCAATAAAAGAACATGTGCCCCTGAATTTAGCACGCAGCTTTTCTTTGAATTCTACCCACGACACGATGCCATCAAAAACGGGAGAATTTACAATAAGGTCCGCCGTACCGCGGCATGAACTTCGCGCGGCTCTTATATATGATTCATCGGTCCGTGGCTGCGTTATGTTTTCAATTTGTCTGAGCCACGACTCTACCTCTTGGTTACTCTTAAGAGGCTGGGATGCTGGCGTATCTGCCCTAAAGTGAGGAACTGCCTCTTTATAGAGCACGTACTCTGTCTGTGGCCGTGATTCAGAGGTTAAAGAATGGTCATTCGTGCTATTCTGTGCTAGGGCTGCGTACTGTGCTTGCATATTAGCCATTTGCTCACTTAACTCTTGGAATTTTTGCGTCAATTCCTCGTACATGGGTAGGTCTAATTGCAAATCACGTGTTGACCCTGGTAACCCATTGTCATCTCGCCGCGGTGAACTTGTTCTTGACATTCCGGCCGTTTCCCCGTCATTACGTCTCGACCGTCTATTCATGTTTACTTAATGCAAGCCAAAAGCGAAACAAGTGAAACAAGCAAAACAAGCGTGAGGCTTATATTCCACGGTCACACGGAAAGGTTAGCTTACTGTTAAGCAGACGGCTACTTGTTTAAAGAAACCACGATTAGCTACTTACGTTAATTAGAGCACGTTTCACACCGCTCGGCACCAGAAAAAGAGGATCGCATCCCACCGCTGCCACCAAATGATATACGGGTAATAAGTTGTAGTGACCCGTAACAAAGTAATCTCTCGCAAAGATTAAGAAAGTACTCACTGCCACCACCCATTTAATTGACGTATGGGAACGTTAGTGTTTGTGTTGTGAGATGGTAGTGTAAGGGAAGAGTGTGAAGAAAGGAGGGACAGTAGGTGTGTGTGTGTGTGTGAGAAAGAGAGGAGGAGTGTAAGTGTAGTGTGCGAGAGTTCGGTAAGCGTGCCTTAGCCGAGAGGAGACGTGTGCAGGGGGAATAACTCCCCAAACGCAATATGATACCAAGGATTTACTTCACTGCCTTAGTGGCTATCTACCGTTCAGCCCGGCTTACACCCCTTGAGTACTCGTCCTCCCAATTGACAATGTATTCATTTGCGAGGGCATATGATAAAACCTTTTTCATAAATCTCGTTTATTAAAAAGAGATTAAAATACCAAATGAGTGAAAGAACATGAAAACACTAAAAGAGTAAAATAACACGGAACAAAAACGTGAAAACACTAAAAGAACATAAAAACGTAAACCACACAAAACAGAACATAAAAACATTAAAACACTAAAAGAATAGAACATGAAAACGTTAAAACACACAAAAAAAGAACTTAAGAACGTTAAAACACAAAGAACAGAACATAAAAACGTAAAAACACTCAAAGAACTAGAACCGTGAAAAACACGAACATTAAAAGAACTTCAATAAAAGTTAAGATAAACACTAAGAAAACACTAAGAACACATGAGCTTTAGAATAAAAATTGACTTGAGGCACCGGTCTATTAGATCACTTTGTTTATCTACATTTGCATGAATTTCTCCCGATACCTTAACTTGGAAGATTCTCACGACCACTTAGCTGTTCTAGTACAGGAGGCCCATTCCGGGGTTCCTCAACAAGTGCTCCCTCCGACAACCCACAGCAAAATCCCCCCTGTCACGCCTCCTTCGTTGTCTGAGGATAGTTCGTGGCGCGAACAATAATAACTCAGGCGGGGAATGCCTTTTCTCATTAGAGTAAAATTTTTATCTTAAAATAATAAAAACATGGCAAAAATAAATGTGTAAAAGTAAAAACTAAAATAATAAATACTGAAGTTAAAAAGATAAAATGATAAAATTGCCTCCTTCTCGTTGTTTGGTTCATTGTTATTTGTTTGCTCATTCTTGTTCTTGTGTGGGATATAAATGATAATATAAAATAAAAACCTTTAATAATTGCTAAAACAAGTAGAAATACAATAAAAATGATAAAAGAGGAGGTAGGTAGGAGCCGCGTTTTCTTCTCCCCCCGTTTTCTATGCAGGCGTGGAGCCTCGGGGTAAGCGTTGAGCATCCTCACCCCCGGGAGATAAAACGATCCGCCTTTCTTTCTAGGGTGACATTTTTCCTGATTTTCTTTTCTTAGGCCTGCGGGAGAGTGAAAAGTGAGAGAGTGTCTTCGTCACGACGGTGAACTAGTGGTTCACGACATTCTCTCTCAGAAGGGCTACATATAACGATGATGTACAGTCCATGTCCTATCAATATAAGGACCAGATTTGAGACCTCCAAACAGATTTCTTCATTCATACCTGATTCTCAATTCAGTTGGCGGTAGTGGTTGCGATTTTTAAAGCGTCACATTTGCGTCTCTCTTTTTCTGCCTCGGTCTGTCTCTGTCTCTGTCTCTGTCTCTGTCTCTCTCTCCCTATTCTCTCTTCTCTTTTCTCTTAACAGAATTTTAGGAAACAAATCTGAATAGCTGAATATATCGTCAGAGACAATGTTTAAAAATTAAGTGCAGATAGCAAAAAACACCACAAAAGTTATTCAAGTATTGCCAGAATTTAGAAAACAATTCTGAATAGTTGAATATATCGTCAGCGACAGATACGTCTAAAAACTAAATGCAGATCGCAAAACAACACCACAAAACAAATAACCGCAGAAAAAAATAAATAAACGGAATAGATTGCAACCCCATTTATTGAGAAAACACGATAACATGCCACGTCTATTAGCTTTTCCATCTGATAGGGAGGCTGGTCAAAAGAAATGACCCTTTTCTTAATCATTAATCTTGACACCATCACGTGTGTGAGGATGAAGTCCCATCGACATCATTTTCGCGGATGAGTGAGTTAGAACTTATCAGAGAGAGATCTTTTTTATTCTTTTATTTTCGTTTTTGACTGATCGGAAGGTCATTTTGCCACTAGTTGACGAGCCGTCTGTTTGTAAGACTGGATTTTATTCTCTCTCTGTTTCT